AAAGAAAAGTCCAACAGCCAGAACTCACAGCACTTAACCATTTGTGGGACGAGGCTCCCCTTCTGTTCTGACCTGCCTTTCCAAATCCTCTCCCCATCATGTGAACTCTCCAGCAATTCAAATATCTTGGAATAAGAGGACCAAAGGTCTATTAATCAACAAGGGCTGAGCTAGAGGAACAAGAGCTTCTGGGGAAAAGTGTTTGAATGCAATTACCAACTTTTATATTAACAAAAAAGATGCATTTAATGAAATCTAATTTAAATGATATCTAATATTCTATACTTTATATGCAGTTTAAAAGAATGTAGACAAAGAATATTCCCGAGAACCCTAAAATACAATAAAAACTCATTATACTAAAAAAATTCAGTAAATTATATTGGCATAATTAGCTATGCATATCTCTCTGATAATGAAGCAAAGTGTGCTTTATCTATTTTTGAGTCATAAAAAAACTTCTTTGTTAAAAAGACAAATGAATTAGCATTAGGATATACATGCTCCTAACAACCTACAAATCCAACCCAACCAGCTGCCTAGACCATGGCAAATGCATATGCCCTGACCAAGAAGGCACTTAATGGCCAATTAGTAACCTGGGATGGCGGTAGGATCAGGAAGAATGGCTAGTCCTACCATACAAGCGGGTACAGAGGGACCTGCCTAGGGAAAGCTTCTCTCTCTGCTTCAATATCAGATGGCAAGACATTCTCTGTCAGAAGGAGCACCAAAGACTGGACCCCCTCCCCCACTCCTTGCCCCCTCCAACCTTGCTGCTCAGGCAGGACGTGGTTCTGTTGCTAACAATACTTCCAGTCCCCTAAATTGACAGGGATGCAGGGTCAAGCATCAGATGTGCAAATCTCTCTACAGCAGCGGTTCTCAACCTGTGGATCGCGACCCCTTTGGGGTCAACGACCCTTTCACAGGGGTCGCCTAAGACCATCGGAAAACACATATATAATTACATATTGTTTTTGTGATTAATCACTATGCTTTAATTATGTTCAATTTGTAACAATGAAAATACATCCTGCATATCAGATATTTACATTACGATTCATAACAGTAGCAAAATTACAGTTATGAAGTAGCAACGAAAATAATTTTATGGTTGGGGGTCACCACAACATGAGGAACTGTATTAAAGGGTCATGGCATTAGAAAGGTTGAGAACCACTGCTCTACAGTGAGCACAGGCTGGTCAGAGTGCACTAACTCCGTATTGCCTCCAGGGACACTGAGAGTCTATGCACATCACTCTTCTTCGTGCCTTGCAAATTCAACATCTCAACACGTCAAAAAGTGATCACTTTTCCATTTTATTTTTGTAATTCTCACCCAAGGACATGTTTATTGGTTTTAGAGAGAAGAGAAGGAGAGGGGAAGTGTGTGTGTTGCGGGGGGGCCTGGACATCAATGTGAGAGAGAAACATTGATCAGTTAGTTGCCTTCCCCTATACTTCCCAACTGGGGATTGATCCCACAAACTAGGTATGTGCCCTAATCAGGAATCAAACCCACAACCTTTTGGTGTAGGGGATGACACTCCAACCAACTGAACCACACCAGCCAGTATTTTAAGTAGAGGTGTTCAATTAAAAATATTAACCATTAAATCTAAGCTTCCATTCATATAAACAACACTGCCTTTATTATCCTAACATGCCACTTTCAGAAACCATTTTGTTTTTTAAAACATAATTCAAAATTCCTAATTCACAGTAAATGTAAATGTAACATTCACATTCCACCTAGGTTGTCAGTCAGTGCTTGGAAACAATTCTCATCAGCAGTGTGGCCTCACTCACTCTGACTCTCATATGTACATCCATCTAACCCTGGGGAAATGTGTGTCATCAAGAGCTTTTTCAATCTCATCACTTCTCTGGAAAGGCCTTGACCAAGGTATTACCAAGAAAGATGTTAACAAAGTGAGAACTATAACAACTGTCAACTGAAATTAGAGTTTTATGCTAGAGTTTTAAAAAATTCTAATTATTTTGAAGTTTACATTTTCATGAAGCTCTATTTCCATAAACAGTGTAATTTAATCTCTAAAGAAACCTTTCAAATAGGTATCACCATTGCTACCTCACAGGGGAGGAATCCAAGGCTCACAGGGTTAAAGACATGGGCCCAAGATCATAGAGCTAGTACCAGATTCCACAGACTCCTGTAACCAACCATAGCCATGCCTAGAACATTTCAGAGCAGAACAAATCCAGAATCTACCCAAAAATCACTAAAGGTGCTTTAACAAGACTACCTTCCCAAAAAAGTGATTTGAATCTGATCTAAATGGCTCATATTCTACCTTAATTAGGTCAAAATGAAAAGTAAAAATAATGAATAATATGAGTAACAATGAAAAAGTATTAGAGTCTGCAAAATAATTGTATTTTTTAACCATTTGCCTGCCGTAGCATCTATAGACCAACTTTAAAATCATTTTTTTCGTGAGAATTTCAACTGAAAATATTCAAGAACACCCGAATTGTAATTGTGCCAGGCTTACACAGCTGTGGGTGAACCTGAGAGGGGGCAGTGAAGGATTTAGAAAAGACAGACAAGAGAATAAAGCTGGGGCTAGGTAGGACGCTGCTTCTCTGATGGAGAGAGACAGCGCCACAGCCTGCAAGCTGAGTCTTTATTTTATAGCCAGTTTCCAGAAGGCAAAGTAAGGGCGTGGTCAAGATGTTTACAATGTTCTCGTGGGTTTCGAATCTACTCCATTACATGTACCTAATCAAGCTTTGTTTACTTGCTGCACCTCCCCCAGCCTATATCATTTAGCCACGTGGGACCATAGGTTCGGACCATAAGGTCAACCTTACAACTATAGACTTTGTGCTGGGAGGGCTTTGCCCTCCAAGCTAGGACTTGAACGTGGCAAGCCACAAGAGGACTGTGCCCTCTCATTAGCCTGAGGCTTGAACCTGTCCAAACATTGTAGCTGCTCTCCACAGTAATATATTTATTTTTATAATATTCATTGCAAATTGATTTTTTAATTAAATTCAAAATATCGTGGCGTGTGGGGATGGTTTCCGTTTTGGATGCATGACAGTTAACTAGTTAAATTCTGCCTTTTGATGCCAGGAAAGGTCATGGAGGGTCTACAACCCTTGAGCCTGAGCCCCTGCTCTCACACATTAGGGCCACTGCCTATCTGCTGGGCAGTCACAACAGCATCTCATGTTAATACGAACCTTTATCTTTATTCAATTCAAACACTGCAGATTATTAACTGCATATTTATGGTTCACTACAGTGTTAAATGGCATTAGACACTTTGGACTATTACTGTGGTATGGTCAAAAAGCCAATCCTTCAAATGTCAGAAAAACCTTCTAAACATTAACATATCCATTGCTCTCAATCCACCCAACCAATTAGGGCAACCCAACAATCTTTCAGCAAAGAGTTGCTATAATTGTTTTCTTTTAATCAGGAATCACCAAATACTTATTAAGAACCTAATTTAAGCAGCATTTTGTTTTTTCTTGTTACAAATTAAGACCAGTATCATAGTTTCCAAACAAAGGCAAAGCTCAGCCACTAAGACCTAGTCTCTCAATGGCTGACCCACTGCCTAAGACAACCAACCTGAGTCCACATGCATATCCTGGGAATGCTTCCCAGACATTCCCAGGGTGTCACAAAGCCTATCACCATCCCACCTGGTCAGCAACACCCTCACTCTGCAGATTAAGAGGAGACAATTCTAGGCCTACTCTCAGAGACACTGAAGTATCTTTTCCATCAAACCTTAACCCAATTTCCAAAAAAAAAAAAAAATACTTGTCAAGTCAAGGAAAGTACCCAGGTGCATTTCAAAGTGGCCTGATTCACTGATGGCTGAGATAAAGGATAGGTTCTGTTAGATTAAGAACACTTGCCCGGCTGGCATCGCTCAGTGGTTGAGCATCGAACTATGAATCAGGAGGTCATGGTTTGATTCCCGGTCAGAGCACATGCCTGGGGTTGAGGGCTCAATCCCCTGTGTGGGGTGTGCAGGAGGCAGCCAATCAATGATTCTCTCTCATCATTGATGTTTCTATCTCTCCTTTCCTCTCTGAAATCAATAAAAAAAACTTTTTAAAGATTTTTTTAAAGAACACTTGCCAAGAAAGTAGCAGGAAAGATTTCCTTCATGTCTGCTAGGAACAACAACACAAAATAGATGATACACTTTTGAACTGCTTGCTTAAAAAACACTAACACCAGCCATGGTATGAAAAACTAAAATGAGCTAAGTGTTGCCTTTCCAATTGTTATCAATCCACATATCAGAGGAAATAAAGCATATGCCAATGTGATACATTTCCCAAGGAAGGGCTTTGTTTAGGAGCAACAGATGTTAGGTCAAACCCGAGACCAGTCTTGAGGAAGCAGCCACCCCTCCTCTCAAACCTCCAGGAATACCATGGAGTAGTTATCGAGACTACCCAGAAGCTACTGGCTGCCCAGACACACAGGACACCAGACAAGACCACAACCAGGCCTCACGGCTTCCCCCAGGGCAGAAGCAACAATTCTCAGACTAGAAAAGCTCTCCACTTCGTGCAGTGTTAATGCAAGACGCATAGAGCACAAGACTAACACAGTGAGTTAGCAAGCACAGGGTCCCGGTAGCCTCCAGACTACTTGGGGATGGAATAAGATAAAGGAAGTTGAAAAGAAACAAACTTCCTTCAGGCCCGGATACCAACCTGTTCAATTTTTCCAAAGAATTCCTCACTGGGACACCGCGGATGCTGTTTATTAACTCCACACAGCTCATTACCACTATTCTGAAACACTTTCATCTAAGTGAAGTCCAGAACAAAATTCAAAACACTTAGCAAAAACTCTATCAAGCCCAATAAAACCAACTTGGAGACTGAACCATTATTTTGACACTCCTTTTTACAAACTAATGAAAATAAACACACACACACACAAGAAAATAAACACACACGAACTGATGAGAGGCAATGCAATAAAATATTTACCGATTCCATAGCTGAAAGTTGATGTTGATAAGGACTGTATATTAAATCCAATAGAGGTGTGTCCAGAGCAGTACTGTATATATTCTGAAACAAGAGAGTAAAATTAGCAAAAAGTAATAATTTCTACTTCAGTTCTCTTTACAATTTGTCTCTCTCCATTTGAAGAAGCCATTTATTCTATTACTTACTACCTTGCTTCATTTTACTTAACACCAGACAAGCAAAAAGTTTGTAAGATGTCTGATTTAGGGTTACAAAGGGAAAGTAAAGCCCAGGAAAGAGGCTCACACCTGATGATTTGTTTTAGGACACTATTCAAATAGAAATCTCTATTCTCAGTAATTTTTCCTGGAAAGCAATACCCAGAAAGGCCAGGCTGAAAAAAGAACACTCAGGTGGGCCTGTCATTCTCCACAGAGATGGGACCTCGGGACTGGGGCTTGGGTGATTCACAGACTTTTCTCTTTACAAGGAGTTTGATAGGAATCTCACAATTATTAAACCTTTGTCAAAATTATACACTTTGCAAGCTTCCTCTCAAACTCAGAATACATCCAAAATCTCCCTTTGGTTCACAAAACCCCGATGGCCCACCTCTCTCCACCTCCCACAGCCTCCTAATACACTGCTTCCACTCCCACCCCATTCCCCCACTCCACTTCCCTGTTCTATATGGCCTCAATCTGGACACTTCCCTCTCAACACTGCCCACATTCTCTCTTCCATTTTTGGTCTGTCTGTGCTCACTGGTCCCTCTCAGCAGGACATTCCTGACTACCCTAAATCCATCACTCAGTCTCTCCCTCAATCTACTTATGGGTCCATTCTCAAAGACGCCAAAACCGGTTTGGCTCAGTGGATAGAGCGTCGGCCTGCAGACTGAAAGGTCCCGGGTTCGATTCCGGTCAAGGGCATGTACCTGGGTTGCGGGCACATCCCCAGTAGGAGATGTGCAGGAGGCAGCTGATCAATGTTTCTCTCTCATCGATGTTTCTGACTCTCTATCTCTCTCCCTTCCTCTCTGTAAAAAATCAATAAAATATATTTTAAAAAAAAAAATCTACTTATGGGTCCATTCTCAAAGACAAAGGACCATAATTCAGACCAATGTGCTTCAGATGACTCCAATTCAGAAACGTGATTCAAGCCTCCTACATGCATTTGAGTTCCTCCAAACACAACTAAGGACAAGCAGGAAGATCAGGGCAACCCCAGGAGGGTCTGAAGATTTTGTAAATGTGATTAAGAAATGTTGTCTGGACTGGCTGATGTGACTCAGAAGTTGAGCATCGACCCATGAACCACGAAGTCACCAGTTTGATTTCCGGTCAGTGCAGATGCCTGGGTTGGTCTCCACCCCAGTAAGGGGCATCCAGGAGGCAGCTGATCAATGTTTCTATCTTTCTATCCCTCTCCCTTCCTCTCTCTATAATAAATCAATAAAAACATATTTTTAAAATGTGTTACTATGATTTATTTTAAAAAAATAAATGGCCCTAGCTGGTTTGGCTCAGTGGATAGAGCATTGGCCTGCAGACCAAAGGGTCCCAGGTTCGATTACGGTCAAGGGCATGTACCTCGGTTGCAGGCTCCTCCCCAGCCCAGGCCCTGGTCAGGGCTCGTGCTGGAGGAACCAATCAATGTATTTCTCTCACATCCATATTTCTCTCTCTCTTCAACTCTCTCTAAAAATCAATAGAAAAATATCCTCAGGTAAGGATTTTTTTTTTTAATGTTGGGGGTGGGGGGTGTAGGTATCTGAATACTGTGGCAAGCACACAGTGCTGAGGCTCATGGAGCAGAGGCTCCTTCCAAGTCATTCCTTACAGAGGTAGTCCACATGTAAACAATCTCTTTATTAATTACTAAACTACAACCATACATCCTATATAATCCTATATAATAAAAGGCTAATATGCAAATTGACCGAACAGCCAGTCACTATGACATGCACTGACCACCAGGGGGCAGACGCTCAGCGCAGGAGCTGCCCCCTGGTGGTCAGTGCGCTCCCACAGGGGGAACAGCGCTCAGCCAGAAGCCCGGCTCACGGCTGGTGAGTGCAGCAGAGGTGGTGGGAGCTTCTCCCGCCTCCGCAGCAACGCTAAGGATGTCTGACTGACGGCTCCCGAACTGTGAGAGGGCGCAGGCCAGGCTGAGGGAACCCCCAACCCCCTCCAGTGCACAAATTCCGTGCACCAGGCCTCTAGTGTCAACATAATCAAATCTCAAATACCATTAACAGTGAATAAAAAAAAATGGGTTTCAGAGGAATATACTAAATATATCTGTGTCTTTCAAAAGTACAGGAAACTTAAAATATTTGAATTAATATACATACAGTAAAATGTCAGTGAAAAGCAAATCATCATGAAATATAAAATTCAAAATAATGCTTCCTCTGTGGGTAGGAGGTAGACACCAACTGGGAAGTGCACCAGAAGTTTCAACAATATTGCTAAAGCAGGGTTGGCTGAAACACAGGGTATAAAGAACTGGTTTTCATATTTATACCATTATAACCCCTGCAGCTCACATGATATACTAGCTATAGTCTTCCAAAATTTCAACAGTGACAGAGGCTGCATGCCCCTCACCCCCTCTAATGCCTTGACAGGGAGTGGAGAGGAAAACAAAGCCAGGCTGACCCCTGGTCCCTAAATTGAACAACTGGTCCTAATTCCATTTGTGATTAATTAAAATCATTTATTTCTATCATTCACAACTAAGAATTTAATGGTATACAGACAACTAAAAACTTTATTTTCAATTATCAAATATTTTTACATTAAGATGTAGCAATTTCAACAATTTGAAGGTAAACTGAAAGTTCACTATCAAAAAAGAACAAATGACAAAATATACAATCTTGCAAAATAACTATGAGAAACAGATTTTATTTAGAAGCCTCTCAAATTTCCTATACACAAGAAACCAAATAAATCAAGTAACCACTATAGCCTGGACATTTGACACAATAATACTGCCAGTAAGAAAGGAAGAAACCATACTACAGTATCGTGGGGGAAAAAATTAACTCAATAAAACTGTATCACCTCCCAGGACAGCTTTGAGATCTTTAACAATAAAACAAACCAGTATTAATTTAAAAAAAAATACCATTCATGCCCATTTTCCATAATCCCATCCTAAAATCAGGCTCTCTTCTATCTCCAAACACATCAAAAGTGCAGAATCAGGCAGGGAAACACACAGACAGGAGACAGGGAGAAGGTTCTCAGGACATGGTGCTTTTATGAAGTGGGATTCCCAGGCCCTGCAGTCACAGTGGTTTCCTGACCTTACAGATGTGTGTTTTGCAAAAATAGAGTAAGATTTTTCTGTCCTTCTATTTCTTTATAGGGCTTTTCAAAGCTGACATTAACCTCAAGGACTATTAAAAATGAATATGGAAAAGCAGCTTCCAGTCACAACTCACTTTTAGTGAAAAGCAACATGTCTAAGTTTTTCAATTTTCCAATAAAAACAGTAATGAGCAATAGAGTGTATGATGAATGTCCACAACAGGAATACAGCAAATAATATCTACTAATACAACTGAAGAAAACTTGAGGCCCCTTTAATCCATGGTTTCTCAAACTCAGCACCACTGATATTTTTGGCCAGACTATTCCCTATTGACCTGCCACTGGCAGGTGTTGAGCAGCACCCCAGCCTCTACCTACTAGCTGCCAGGAATGAACCCCCACAATATGACAACCAGAATATCTACAGACACTGTCACATGTCCCCTGGGAGCAAAAGCATCTGGGTAAAGAACCAGTGCTCTAATCCACCTGCTATTTTACAAGTAAGGAAACTGGGCTCAAATTCAGTTAAGGGAGATTTTTAGTTGTATGAGGTCATGGCAGAGAATTAAAAGCAAGTTGAAAACAGAATCCAGGTCTTTTAAATCCTGACCTAAAGGTCTTTTCATTCTAAGTGAAAAAATTTAGTAATTGATTCACTTATTTACGGAACAGTACAAATTAAAAAGCCTCTAAAATATTTATACCTCTTGACAGAGTAAACTCATTTCTGGGAAGTATGCTAAAGAAATAATCTAAGATTTTTTTTTAAAGCTTCATATAGCATACCTACCAGTTCACATCATGTAGCATACCTGTTCACAACAAAACTACCACCACCACAACTATAATCAAGCTACATTTTCAAACAGAAATGCACTAGACAATTCTTTTACTTTTAGCTTATAGCTACAGTACTTCAAAACAGCATATTCCCAGACTCAACAGAGTGCAGACTCAGACATGAAGACATGAACAGTGAGTGTCTAATACAGCTGGCAGGTGACCACTGAGAGAAGGAGGAGCTAGTCAATTGATGGAATAATTTACCCATCCATGTCTGGGAGGGAGGCCAGCATGGATGCAAAACCTCACCAACAATCCATCTAAAGCAACAGAGATGTTTCCACCAATGGGAATGGCAATATGGACAAGATGATAATCGTTAAGTGCTGGCCCTTGGCAGAAAAAAGGGAAAATAATTGTTTTGAAACATTAATTTTCTATTTCTTGCTTGCTTTATCCTGTAGTGAAAAAGAAGCACCACTGAATCATACCAGCCAGGGCAGGAAATATCTAACAACTAGAGGCCTGAAATTCATGCAAGAGGCTTGGCCCTCACAGCCCGGGCACCCAGCTTCGTCCGGACAGTCATCTAGACGTCATTCAGCTGTTCAGCCATCCAGCCTAATTAGCATATTATGCTTTTATTATTATAGATAGTGGTGGTTATCCCTGAATAATGAAGCAATGCAAGATTTTAAATTAATCTTTCTCGCCCTAGCTAGTTTGGCTCCGTGGAAAGATCATTGGCCTGCGGACTGAAGGGTCCCGGATTCAAGTCCAGTCAAGGGCACATGCCCGTGTTGCAGGCTCAATCACCAGGATGCGTGCAGGAGGCAGCCGATCAATGATTCTCATCATTGATGTTTCATAAGTTTTTATATATTATATATATACACACACACTAGAGGCCCGATGCACATAGGGTCCCTAAGCCTGGCGGGCGATCAGGGCCGATCTGTGAGGCGACTGGCAGGGGCCCCCGCTGGCACCT